TCCAAATCATCTAGGAATTCTCGGACATATTCCTTAGTATATCCATAAAAGGTAGGTAGTCTATCTGCTATGGTTTTTTCGTCCTCTTGAAGTCTTCTCCTAGGTAGTTGTAGTAATGCAGGTGGTGGTAGTGGTAGTGCCATTCTTGCTTTTGTCTTCCACTATGGGTTTCAGCAAGTTCGGTTATGCAATATAGATAATAAATCGGTTGAGGTGTCAATTGATTTTCTGCCAGTTGGCACCAATTGTGACGGACTAAAATATATTAATGGCAAAATACTCGGAGTTGAGCAGGTGCAGAAAATATGTTTTTAGGGGTCTTAGCGGGTTATGCAGTAGTGTCTTAAGAAGGGTATGCATTGGTGTAGGTGTTAACTAGTAAGAATTTAAGTGTGATTGATTGAATAAAGTATATCTGTTAGAATCTCGAAACTATCTCAATTGCTTACTCCTTAAGTAAGGCTTCAATATCTCTTGGATTGTCTGTTGTAAGCTTCCCTAGCTTGTTGCAGTCTGAATTTTATTGATAATTGCAAGTGGGGTATTTATAAGAAATTACAAGGTGCTATATGGGCAGCTACCCAGGTTACTACTTGAATTTCTGATTGGCTCGGCTAAATATAAGGTACAAATTGATTGGCTAAGATATAATAAATAATATATTAGGTTATAATGTAATTGGGTGACAAAATAATATATCAGATCGAAATACTATTTTAGGTTATAGTGTGATTGTGGATCTCAGTAATACTACAAGTTTTAGCAATGCTTCAAGTCTCAGTAACGCTTCAAGTCACAGTAATGCTTCAAGTTACAGTAATGCTTCAAGTCACATGACTGTGGTCTCACATGATCAAATTGTATGTTGTCACAAAATGTTCTGTCACAATATCTAATAATTAAACTTTATCCTTACTGATTAGATAGTACAAAAGTAATGATTACTTTACAATTCCTTTATATAAACCTAACCCTAATAAGACCAGATGCTGTTATATCATTTAGGATAGCACCTCTTCCTCATAGAGCAAAAACTTTTCCTCAAGCAAAAGATATTTTAGTAGATATTATTACTGGTTTACTAGGGTGGTGACCCTTTATACAATGTCATTAGAATTCTAGCCTACTATATAAATCTTCCTGTAGCCTATCTTTTTAACTATAATCCAGCTAGTATTCCTACTGGATTAGCTGCTGGCTCTAATTTGATATACTAATAATTATATTGATTTACAGTTATTTATTATAATTAATATTAATTTATTTTTACTTTTAATATATTCTTAATCACAAAACATAGTTAGTAGATAATAGGAGTGTATTGTGATAACTGTTTTTTTTTTTTTTTAAGTTGGATTTGCATATTTTATAATATTGTTCAGGTTTGTAGCTTTGCTATTAGGTGCCCATTTGCTTAGCCATTTAATATAAGTAGTATAAATATAAAAAAGAGCTCTTTTTCTTTCTTTTATTTGACTTTTGCAATGCAAATTAAAGAAATAAAATAATATGTTGAGTGGTTAAAGAGATTCATATAGATATTAGATTTTTTTATTTTTTTTGTTTGTACAAAATGAGTAAAGTTAATATTATGAACAATAACCTGCAGCCTCTAGCAAGATACTACCTTCAGGGGACTTAATCTCTAGTATGTTCACAGACTATATAAGCTCAAAGAACTGGAAGTATAATGAATCATCATTATGAATAGTAAGGCAGACACAACCTAGCTGAGGCAGGAGTAAAGAAGAGTAATGTACAAAGGCATGATGGAAACCAGTGAGTTGGGGTGAGAGAACTAGAGGTAAGAGAGCTAGAGGTAAGTAGAATAAAAATAGTTGGGTTGGTCAAATTTTAGTGATTATCTAGATGAGAGCCAGCAGTGGAGGTGGGAGTAGGTTATATATGAGCAGCCCAGACTGATTGAACTTATGTCATAATGATTTTTTTTTTTCAATTTCTTTTCTCTTTTGCAAATATTTTTACTCCCTCTCTTTCCCTTCACCATGTCCCTCTCTTTCTATTTTATTTATATAAGTCTGAATTTTCAAATCAATGAACCATCTCAAAGCTAAGAGAATAAATAATAAATATCATTTAAAAGTAAGATACCATGACTTCATAGTGTAGTCAGATATCATGGCTTGATAATCACATCTGCCCAACATGCAGACAATTGCCAGTTCAACTCTAGCTGAAGTCATAATTTTCATCAATACTCCATTTGGGAGTGTTTAGCATACCTAAGATCTAGGAAAAATGATTCGACAGAAGAAAAGTGATACAAAAAGGCAAGAAGTTTCCAGTGGTCTGAAGTTTGATGAGTCAAGTCCAAAAAGCATGATTTTAACTATCACAAGAAATGTTGGCTCTCCCTTTTTTTTTTTGTATGGGTTTATTTCAAAGTGAGTCTAGTTTTTAGTCTCCTCATTTGAGCAAGACATTATGGTGCATTTGTCTAAATGCATTTACATGTATTAAAAAGAGGGAAAAGAAAAGGGGGAAAAAAGGGAGTAAATGTTTAGAGGACAACCAGCCAATGTTCAGGAAAACAAGCCATCGTCTCTTTTTCCTACAATCAACTCTGGGCCATTGATCAAAATATTCAATCTATTTGACGTAAAATCATTTTGTTGACAACGCTGAAAGCATTTTGCATTAGCCATCTCGCACAGATGACTTGATAAAAAAATTGATCTGCTTCAAGAGCGTGCATGCACAATTCCCCCGTTCTCACGATGACAGGCAGTAGAAGAGGACTTTGATGGAAGTCGTGGCCTTGGCCGTCTTGACTATGTTATCTATCTTCGAGCTCTTGCGCTTCTGGTGACCGAAGCCAAAATGACCGAAATGCGAAAGGGGGTTACTCAAAATCTCGTGCAGCTTCATACTGCTATGGAGGTATCTATAATTGTTACCGTTTATGCGCGATCTTACAACTATTTCACTTACACCTTCCGATTTGATTCTGTTATCCATTACTTTTTAGATACTTGGCAAGCGTAAGCGTGATGAGCCCAGCTTTGGCAATCTCAACGCTGTGTATGGGATAGTAACGACTGGGGTTGAGTGGCAATTCATCCGCTGGTCAGGTTCGCTAGAAAACCCCGACGTATGTATTTCTGAGCCATACCGTTGCTCCTTTACAGGAAATATGGAAGACGCCAAAAAGATAGTTTCTATTATTATCCGCATCATTCAATGGCAAGCCCGAGGCTTGACAATGCAAGTCCAGGCAGAAGACGAGGCAGAAGACGAGGCAGAAGACGAGGCAGAAGACGGCAATGAGGATGAGGACGAAAGGGCACCTCAACGCTCACGGCTAGCGGAGGATGGAGGAATGGAATAGGGGGGGGCTTGCCACTAGTTTGCATATTTTTCTTTTGTGTTGTTGAGCGGAAGATGGCTAATCTGCAAAGTAATTAAATTAGTTAATTTTCTTTCCAAGTTTTATTTTTTGATCAAGTTTATTTTGAAAATGAAGATACTAAAATCAAGCCACGATTGATGCTCACTGACTATACTTTATAAATGAAACCAATTGCTAATTCAACAAGACACGCTAGTTCGAGTACAAGCTATGAATATGAATGAGACGTTCAAACTGAAATTATTTTGTGAACTTCAATCTCCGAAGTGTTGTCATTGCACGAAGAGTGAGGCAAGACATGATCACAGGAATCCACTGAAACATTGTTCCATTTCATTTGAACAGTTTTCCGCAGTCCTTGTGGCTTGTAAGAAATAACACGTTGCGGGAATCCGGGTTCTGAGAGCTTCTGAGATCGGGAGTAACAGTTCGCAAACCTCCTTTTGTTCTACGGTTATTTGATTGTCTTCCCACGGTTGTCTTCCCGCGATATGGACTCGTTGATCCATACCTTATGACCTATACCTCATTGTGATCCTATTCTCTCCCACCAATTAATCTTTTGTCACTGGTTTCACCATGTCTTCCCCAACTTTATACTCTCTCCTTCTTTCTAATAACAACACCACTCCACCGTGCGATATGGACAGGTATGGCGACGCTAACGGGAATGAAGGAGACATATCAATCTACACGGTGACAATACGGCAGAGCCCCTCCGCGGGCCTAAGCTTTGGGGGCGACATCTCGAGACGGAGGCCCCTCGAGCCACCGCTCATTGCCCAGCTAGACATTCAAGATCAACATGGAAATGAAATTCAGTTGTAAGTAGCGCATGGGTAGACTTGATCATTCCTGTTTATCTGGCCATGCGTCGTGTCGCACGGCAACAAACAATATGACATGGACCTTCTTATTGAGCAACAACTTGTTCGGTTATGTATGTAGTTCGAATCTAACTGTCGAATCTAACCGAAGTCATAAATTTCAATTTTATTATCACTACCACCACACTCCGGCGGCAAGAAAAAGATATTTCCGGCCAAGAAATTATGGCACGTGCATTTATAAAAAAAGAAAAGAAAAGAAGAGCAATAGGATTTTGCACTACAAAGATTTCTCAGAAATATTTGAAAATGTCGCAGGACAACCGGTCTTTGTTCAGGAAAACAAGTTATCCGCTCTTTCCTACAATCAACTCTGGCCATCGAACGAAATATTCAATCTACTTGACGTAAAACTCAATGTTCCATGGCCTGTGCTCGTCGTTGATGAAGCAAACAGATTTATGAATCTCGTCCATTCGGAGGACAATTGTAGTCAGCTTCGGAAGCTCATTGACGAACCCGTTTGACAGCAACTGTAATTTCTTCTCGCGGTTGAAGAACTGAAAGTTGAGGCCGAGATAATTGTCGATTTTTCCATCATGGCGATGGCGTATGCCAATGGTCGAGATGCAAAAGGCAGGTGGTGTGAAGCGGTACACTACAACGGAATGACAGCCACTGGCTACATACATGGCTTATTAATAAAAAGTTGACTTCAGCCAGATTCGAACTGGAGTGTTAGACAGACGTGATAACCATTATTATCACGTCTGTGTCATGTAAAAATCACGTAAGAAACCATCGACTTCATGGTGTATTTGGTAATCACATCTGTCTAACACACGGTCGCCAGTTCGAACCTGGCTGAAGTTAAATTTTTTTTTTAATATTAGACTTGTATCATAAGAAAAGAATAACAAAGACTTTATTTTTGAATAAAACCTACAAGACGTAATTCTTTCATTATATCATCATAAGGCCACCTTTATGGCAGTCTCCTTGACTCTCGACCGACCGATGGATTTTCCTAAAACAGATGCTGAACGTTATACAGGTTTCACCGAAGAAAGCCATCTGACTTTAGGAAATTTCTAATCGCTCTCGCTGGTCCAACGTGGATTCGCTGCTTCGCCGGTAGATACATGGGAGCATGGAGAATCTAAGTAGATGGGTGTGAATCCGACATGGGGGAATCTAAGTGACATGGAGTGGCATGTGGAATGGTGTGGATGTATGGAAAGAGTGTGGAAGTATGGAAAGAGTTGCAGGAAAAAATTCTTTTTCTTTTATGCAGGACGGACGGACACACTATCATGTGATTAAAGTGGCGACATATCTCACTGAAGGTAGTGAACCGGAATATACCGAAACTGTGGGTAGAAAGAAGGAAAAAAAAAAAAAAAAAAAAAAAAAGTCTGATTGGTATCAAAAACGTCGCCATCTTTTTTCAGAATAATTAATTAAAATTATTTCACTGATTAAGGACTTTTGCATGGGTTCCAAAGTTCCAAAGTCAATGAATTTGTTTGTTGAATGTGTATTTGCGCCAAAAGCACGTGACTAGGCTTACTACTAATTTATTTTTTCCGACACGTTTTCCCGTTTTCCAACTCACACCACACACCTATTGATCATGAACGAACGAACAGGACCATCTTGACCCAAATTTCAACCCATCGTCCCTCCGAGTCGTTGACCTCAAAAAAATACTACAAGAGTATAACGTCTCCTTCCCGTCGACCGCCAGGAAACAGGACCTCATTGTTCTCTTCAACAAACATGTTGCCGCCAATGCACCACACACCACAATGTCTGGTCAGCCTCAAACGATAAACGTCCCAGGTAAGTCAGCCTTTTTGTAGCCTATCGCTTTGCTCCGCCTATATGCTCTCCTTCATTATTTAATCTTCCCTTCTCACATTTCTCCTGACAGATACTATGAAGCGGGAACTTTACGATAACCATTACAATCCTGAAACTGATTCCTGCATTATATGCGAAGAATTCTTCTTATGGGGCATAACTGCAGTGAATTTTTGGGAACACATCAAGGCCAAACATGAGGTAATAATTCAGTATTTTCAATGGTGGTTCCAGTTAGGAATCGTCCGGTGATATTTTTTTACGTGAGCTATGTCTTTGCTTTTTAACAATACATAAATACCATCAATGCATCTCTATTTCAAGGATTTGATTCCAAAGGATATTGGATCCGGAGGGATCCCCTCCGCAATTAGCATAGAAAGTAGCCCGGCGCGCATAGGGAACCTCGCGCCCCACAGAAGCGACCCTCAAAGTAGCTTGGCCGCCCAAAGCAACACAGCGATCCCAAGGAACTCAGCGCCGGTTATTATATCTTCCTATTTCTTTAATACTTGATACTTGACATCTTCCATATATAAATATTCGTACATTTTTTCTCTCATGACTTCATAGACACCTCGAGACGTGATTATGGAGACCGAGGAGGTAAAATTAACACCTTATTCTAGAGAAAGTAATATAGCTACAGCTTCAGCCCTGGGCTCTCTGCAAAAATTTCCTCATGTAAATTATTAACCTTGCAATATGAATTCATTGCTGTCAAAGCCAGACGAAAAAATGATTATCCCAGATCTCCCAAAATCCGTTCAAAAATGGAAATGTGGCCACGTTCTCGAATTTGTCAGAGCGAACTGAGACTACCTTGATATTGGTCAGCAACATATTGACATCTTAGATGAGCAAGAAGTCTCTGGCAAAGACTTTTTGAAGCTGACCTGCGAACGTTTGAAGGAGTATGGAATGTCAGGTGGACCTGCGATAAGAATTCTAGAGATAGTCGAGGAGTTGAAAAAAGAAAAAGGTATTATAGATAACAATGGTAAGTAGTTTGCGGTTCAATTTTAATTGCAATGTAGTACGTAATTGTGATATTGATGAAATATTAATGAATGATAACTTTGGTTGCTTTAATTGCTCATTCTCACCCTTTTATTTTCTACTTTGTGCTCTTCATACGTTCTTACTCTCATTGGACTTTTACAGAATCACAAGATATGTTACTTTACCATAAAGAAATAAGCTCCTTAGTCTACAGAGATATGAAAGGGGCAATACGTTGCCACTTCATTTACATTCTTTCGTTTAATTTCTACGTCGCACTTCTCCCCCATTTCTATTTACCTAATTTATGTCCTCTCATTATTTATTTTACGCTCACTCCTCTTCTTTCGTTCACTTCAATGTCAATAATTGAAACCGTTCGTCCATTCATTCACTCGTCCATCCATCCATGCGTCCGTTCATGCGTCCATCCGTCCGTCCGTCCGTCCGTCCATCCGTCCGTCCTGCATCCGTCCATCCGTCCGTCCTGCATCCGTCCATCCGTCCGTCCCACCATCCATTTGTTTGTTTGTTTGTTTGTATGGATTCGTCTTTGTTCATTTCTGTGAACAAGAAAGTAAAAAATATATATGTGCAAACGTGTTTGGTGTTTTAAATACATTGAAAAGAAAAGACTGTTTATTTTTCAATTCGGCGTTATCAATATGCCAATTGTGAGCTTGTACTAATTATTTATTGTTCAACCTTCATTTTCCACTATCTTCTCGCCATTTATCCCTCATCATCCATCGTGTTGTCTACTTATCAACCATCCGTCCATTCAACTTGATCGTCTGTCTATTGAACATATATGTTAACTCCCG